ATGGGGGTTCCCAGTAGCCAGTCAACAAGCTCCCTTTATGAAAACCAATAGTTAATTATATTTTTTTTCTTTTTAAGGGGGAGTACCAAATCGTACTTCTTCCTCTGGTCAAAAGGGACCCCAAGAATGAGCCTGAGTCGAAGCATTAGTCAGTGACTGTTAGTACCGGAGGAAGTTGAATGCATTAAGATGGACAACTTCAAGAACAGAGGGGTTTGAGGGGTCTAATGACTGAACATTCAATATGTAGTAACGAGTAAAGCCCGTCACATAAATGGGAGAAAGTCTACGGTCACACATTGCCATATTTCAGTATCTGGGACTTTTAAGATAATCCAGCTGGCTAACTTTGATGCTTGCCTTAACAGTGGCCACGGGAAAGACAGGTCTAGCTCCTGAGACCCTGCCTCCCGTCTCTGATATGATCTGTTGCTTCCGAATATTAAGGACATAAGAGAATTATAACTGAGGAAACTTCAGGATTAAGACTATTGGGCCCAGGGGTGCCAGCTCCTGGTGTTTATACATCTTGAGGTTATCTTGAGTTGATTTCGGGGCTTTAGTGTCCCCGCGGCCCGGTCCTCGACCAGACCTCCACCCCCAGGAAGGAGCCCGTGACAACTGACTAACTCCCAGGTACCTATTTACATGACCCAACTCCACCACAACCTTCATCGAGAACAGTGTATACTATCGTCTAGGACAATGTATACTTTCATCGAGGGCAGAATACACTTTCATCAAGGACAGCGTACACTTTCATCAGGTATATCACATACTTCATTGAAGCCAGGTATACTTTATTACAGGAAAATATGTATACTATCGTCGAGCACCGCATATACATTCATCGACGTATACCTTCATCGTGAACAATGAATACTTGTGTCAGGTATAACATATATGCTTTCATCGAGGCCGGTATACTTTCTGAACGGATAATGTATATTTTCGTCGAAGACTGCGTATACAATCATCGATAACAGGATATATTGTCCAACACGCACATATTTTGATCAAAAAAGTATATAATCACGTCAAAACAGAGTTTACTTCCTTAAAAATGCACCATGCTTTGTATCCCAAGAGTGCAATTATAGATTAACGTTGCCTGAAGATCAGAGAAAGGTCACGAGGATCGAACCAGTGAAAGGTCATGAAGGTATTTGAAGTGATAGATCAGGTAATTAAAAAGTAGGGATAAGCCACAAGGATAATACCAGTGAATGGTCATTAGGAGAGCGTAGGTTATCCCCCATAAACCTAGCCTAACCTGTCCTAGGCAAAAGGAATCTATCCCTACGCTACACTAAACTACAAGCCCAACAGTCCATATATAGTACTACCATCCACAGATCCACAGTAACTACTGGTACTGTCGTTTTCGGTTGAGAAGTTACGATAGTGAGGTCATATATAATACCGGGTGGAGTGCAGGGAATGCCCCGCTGGTGAGAGCCGGGGCCGGCACAAGTGGACTCAGGAGTATTTTTCAATTTTTTCTTAGTTTAATATAAAACATTATGCACTTACGTCTGCAAATTTGTAAAACATCTAACACATACTTTGCATGTAATGGCCTTTAATATGAATTCACGATGCCATATTCTCCTCCCCCCCCCCCCCCCATCCCCACCAATCTCAACATCTGCTCACCTAACGTCCCCTTTCCCCCCCCCCTCCCCCCTCAAGTGTCAGTCATGCACACCTGGAATGTGTACACACCTGGGCTGGTGATGACCCTCCTCTACACCCGTGTGTCAATTCTCTGACACCCGTGTGTCAATTCTCTGACACCCGTGTGTCAATTCTCTGACCCCCGTGTGTCAATTCTCTGACACCCGTGTGTCAATTCTCTGACACCCGTGTGTCAATTCTCTGACACCCGTGTGTCAATTCTCTGACAACCCGTGTGTCAATTCTCTGACACCCGTGTGTCAATTCTCTGACACCCGTGTGTCAATTCTCTGACCCCGTGTGTCAATTCTCTCTCTCTCTTGGAGAGAGAGAGAGAGCACCATATAAAAAATGTTAACCTCGGTTACAAAATTTAGTATAAATTAAGAAATATGTATAATAATTATTCTAACCCCATACTACTAAACATTTCCCTGCTGGCTGTTGTTTCAGACATTGCTAGAGAACATCTATGGAAGATAAGAATGAAGGAAACTGCAAAAGGCCTATCGACCCATACGAGGCAGCTCCTATCTATCTCCACCCTAACTCAGTCACATACATGTCGGGGTTGAGCTCTGGCTCTTTGGTCCCGCTTCTCAACTGTCAATCAACTGGTGTACAGGTTCCTGAGCCTATTGGGCTCTATCATATCTACATTATAAACTGTGTATGGAGTCAGCCTCCACCACATCACTGCCTAATGCATTCCACCTGTTAACTACTCTGACACTGGAAATGTTCTTTCTAACGTCCCTGTGGCTCATTTGGGTACTCAGTCTCCACCTGTGTCCCCTTGTTCGCGTACCAGGAGGGGCTGGTACTCGAACCCCGGCTCCCGGTCGGCCGAGCGGACAGCACGCGGGACTTGTGATACTGTCGTCCCGGGTTCGATCCCAGGCGCCGGCGAGACACAATGGGCAGAGTTTCTTTCACCCTATGCCCCTGTTACCTAGCAGTAAAATAGGTACCTGGGTGTTAGTCAGCTGTCACGGGCTGCTTCCTGGTGGTGGAGGCCTGGTCGAGGACCGGGCCGCGGGGACACTAAAAAGCCCCGAAATCATCAAGATAACCACTCTTGTTAATTAAATAGTTTGTCTTTGTCCGCCCATTCAATTCCCCTGAGAATTTTGTATGTAGTAGTCAAGTCTCCCCTTAATTAATCTGTTTTCCAGGACTGTAAGGCTTAATTCATGTAGCTTCTGTCGTAACTCATTCCTCGTATTCTGAAACTTGTCAGGTGGCAAACCTTTCAACCTTTTCCAGCTTCGTCTTGTGCTTTACTATATATCTACTCCATGCTGGGGCTGCATACTCCAGAATTGGTCTTACATATGTGGTATACAAAATTCTAAATGATTCCTAACACAAAATGTTGAAGGAAGTTCTGATGTTAGCCAGCCTCGCATACGCCGCGGATGATATCCTCTTGATGCGGGCTTCAGAAGACAGGTTGGGTATGACATCAACCCCTAGAGCCTTTTCTCTGTCCATTTCATGAAGGATTTCATCTCTCAATTGGTACCTTGTGTCCGGCTTCCTGTTCCCTACACTTAATTTCTTTACTTTACACATACTGGAGTTGAACTCTAGCAGCCATTTGTTGGACAAATAGTCATCTTATAGTCTCTTGCTATAATTATTTGTTTTAATCCTTCTCGTAATTCTTGTATCAACAAAATGAATCTATACCCTCTGGAAGATAATTTACGTTTATCTGAAACATAATTGGTCCGAGTACAGAGCCCTGCGGGACTCCGCTGGTGATATCCAGTGACTCGCTGTCTTCTGTTGCTTAGGTACTCCCTTATCCAATGGAGTACCTTCCCTTTCACTTCTGCCTGCATTTCCAGCTTTTTCACTAGCCTCTTGTGTGGTACTGTCAAAGGTTTCTGTCAATCAAAAAATATGCAGTCTGCCCACCCCCTCTCTTTCTTGCCTAATTTTTGTTGCCTGGTCGAAGAATTCAATTAGTCCTGTGAGAGCAGGACTTGTGTGTGTGTGTGTGTGTGTGTGTGTGTTGTGTGTGTGTGTGTGTGGTGTGTGTGTGTGGGTGTGTGTGTGTGTGTGTGTGTGTGTGTGTGTGTGTGTGTGTGTGTGTGTGTGTGTGTGTGTGTGTGTGTGTGTGTATACTTCTTAAATCCCTTTCTCGCATACTCGTTGGATTCCCTGCAAAGTTTGCAGTGCAGGCTAATCACCCCAGAGCCAGTCTCGCTCTCTCTCTCTCTCTCTCTCTCTCTCCCCTCTCTCTCTCCTCTCTCTCTCCTCTCTC